ATCCGCTGCGTAAAAACTTGCTGGATAAGTTGGTGGTTCATTCCGCTGTGGCGACCCCAGATTAATAAAGGGACTAAGCCGACAAGAAAATGAATGAATGAATGAATGTGTTGAAGAAATCTGCTCTCTGTTGAACAGAAATTGGGGAAAAAATAACGGGTTCTAATAATTCAGGGGGGCCAATAATTCTGACTTCAACTGTATATACATATTTATAAAAAGTCAAAGAAAAAGCAGGTCAAAGAATAAGCAAATATCAAGCCAAGCACAGTCTAAGTGATCTGAAAAGCCCAGAAACGCAACACTGCAGTAGCTTTTGGCTGACTGCTGGAACAAAAGCAGTGAAAGACGGACGCGTGCGGCAAATCAATGCCACGTCACTGCAGGCGCCTGAACAGCAGGTGCTGCTCTGAGAGCTGGGGGTCGCAGGACTGAATGATTTCACTGTGCTTCAAGAGGCACATTTGGGGACCTGGGGTGAAGAAAAAGAGGAGTCCCCCGCAGACCGCAGAAACACCGTCCAATTTCTGTGAGTCCAGCTCATAGGGTGACTCTCTCATGGAGGAAATAGCTAAATATAAATAGCCGCTTTCACTATTTTTCCTTGATCACGGGCCCCTCATCTCAGCGGGATCTGGGGGCCCAAGACAAAATGTCTCTCACTCATTCATTTGAGTTTGCTCTCTCCTTTTTTAACTTAATGAGAGGCTGCGGAGAGACCTGTCAGTGTGACAATAATTACAGAAACTACACTGTGCACCAGCTGCAACAGGCCCCGGGCCCCAAAAACATTCATAACACACAAATGTGAGGTCATGGAAAAATAGAGAGAGAAAGAAAAAAAAAAAAAAAGTTGCTTGGCTACTGTACATCCCAGACGCTGAATACTGGGTTTCTTAGACGACAGAATCAAATAACAGACTGTTCATCCCTGTAATTCAGATAATGCCAAGCTCAGGCATACACACAGGCCACCAGATAAACACTAAATACACCGACTGATGGGCGCAGAAGAGGGTAAATTAGCAGCTGAGTCACTGGCTGGAGCAGGTGTGGATGAATGAGTGTGTGTGAAAAGCAAAAAAATGAATAGAGTAATACTGTATAGATGTATAAAGAAAGAAGCAGTCAAGTCATTTGCACTCTGACAAGAGGTTAAAGCAGAAATCGGAAGCTGCAACCTTTTTTTTAACCATACTGTGATGTCGAGCTGCACAATTAATCGTTAAAAGATCGCGATCTCGATTCGACCCCCTAGACGATCTTAATCCAGCATTTCTACGATTCTGCCAATCATTATTTCAAGTTCAGGAGAGAAGAAAAGGCGGCTGCACGAGTCTTCTCATTGTTTCACACACGTTGCTCAGTGACATTGACACCTCCAAAGGATGTTGAATAAGTCACATACTGTATTTACAAGGTATAATTCACCTAAAAATGTCATTTTTGTCTTAATATAATGATGTTTTCTCGGCCGGGAAATCACATGTGACGTGAGCTGCTGACCGTGAGCTGTTATCACAGAGAGGGCGCGCGTTCTACTTCATGACAGACGCGCGCGTCTACTTTAGTGAACAGAACCTGCATATGTTGTGAGTAACAGGTAATACAGTTGTAAATAATATTCAGTTTGTGGCACAGAGTGATCGTTTGGGAGCCGCGCGCGAAGTATGAACAAGCACTTAGCAGTCAGAATGAAACCGAAAGTGTGAACTTCATTTAAATGATCGTATCGCATTTTAGAGTTATGATTACGACAAGCATTTGATGTTTATTCTTTCATAGCGAACCCACAGTTGTGCATGAAAATAAATGTTTACAATGTCAGTATAACTACTCTAGCCTATATATTGTTGACTATAATCTGATAATGTCAAATGTCTGATTTTACCAGAGAATAAAATGGTCTAATATGACAGATTGCAAGCATATATCTCAAACATAATAATTCAACATCTTTATTTTAAGCAAAAAAAATCGCCATTCTCATTTTAGCCAGAATCCTGCAGCTCTACTGTGATGCAGTTCCTTGCTAAACAGAATATTTAATGAGAAAACAGTAGGCGTGGCTTGTATTTTTCTACTTCGAGCCTCCTGGATGTAGTAAAGTAGATATTTCGTTCAGAAAGATCGTGAAAAGGATTTGGGGATGTTTATCCGCAGGTTAAGTTGCGTGAAATACTGTTTCCGGGTCCAAGCATTAGAGAATTTTATTTAAAAATTCGGAATGAACCGCCAACTCTTCCAGCACATGTTTTATGCAGTGGATGCCCTTCCAGCTGCAACCCATCCTTGGGAAACAAACATACTCATTCACACTCATACACTACGGACAATTTAGCCTACCCAATTCACCTGTACCGCATGTCTTTGGACTGTGTGGAAACCGGAGCCCCCGGAGGAAACCCACGCCAACAGACATGCAAACTCCACACAGAAATGCAAAGTGACCCAGCCGAGGCTCATACCAGTGACCTTCTTGCTGTGAGGCGGCAGCACTACCTACTGTGCCACTGCATCGCCAATACAGTAGTTAATAACAAGATTTTTCCGAAGATTATTGTAGTGTAAATTGGCTGTTTTTTTCCAGTATTCTTCCAACAGATTTTATTTTAGAGAGCAGGCATGAGGGTCAGCTGTGTGCTCTTCAATTCATATCAGATTCAGGCAGCTAACGGCTACTCTGACTTGGCATGGGACGATAACCGTTTTCAAGGTATACCACGGTTTGGAAAAGTCAAGGTTTTAAAATCGCCAAAATTTTCTGTAATACCGTTGCTAAGGTATGTGTACAATTTTTTTTTATTTACGCTTTTTATTTTATTTTTTATAGGGCAACAGTGTCTCCAGCAGAAAAGATCTCTAAAGATTTAAATTGTCATTTTGTCATTGTAAATTGTAAAGAAATCTTTTTGAAACTGATGAAGACAGCAGAAGTCAATGATTCATTTTCATTATTTAGCCTGACACAGTTACCGCTCCAAAATATCATAAATATTTCTCAAAATAAAATATATTGTGTTCAAAGAGGAAAAAGTTGTTTTTAACCCAGACATTTAAAAATAATATATTTAGAGCAGTGATCACAATACCATAATATTTTTATCTAAGGTTTTGTTACCTTCAGAATCTTATACCGGCCCATGCCTAACTCTGACTGACGTGCTTGAAGGCTCATGATGTTTTTCCTGGTGACATGGAGTCAATCCGCGATTCACAGCACATTATGTTAGCTGACGAAAGCCTCTTGTCTTGAGAGTGGACCTTTCAGAGGAACTAGGAAATATGACAGCCGCTTTCATGTTAGCTGAGTAGCTGTGTATAATCAAAGTAAGATTTATGATATAATAACGTGACTTTCGACAAGTGAAGCATGAGCACACATTGCTTTGCATTTTATAAACACAACCAAGCCTTAAAAATACAGTATGGACCACCTCTTTAAAAGAAAACAAATCTCGTACCAGTCCTGAATTTGAACAAAACCTCAACATTCTGTATTATTTTATGGCTATGAGAACAAAAACAAAAGGTGCAGCTCTCTGTTTTATTATTACTTTGTTAAATATTTCAAAGTGAGATGGCATTATATCTTAACTTAAGCTTATACCAAGCGTTTTTTTAACCCAACTGTAAGACAATACATATCTTATTAAAATGCACATCTCATGTGTTAATCTAATGTTATGTCAGTTTACTAAACATATCTTAATTTAAGAAAAAAACACCATAAAAAGGTAAAAGAAAACAAAAGAAAAATACATTTCTGATATTGAGGTGAAGTCGGTTTGATATTCGCATTCGTTCAGTGATTACTTGTGACAGGCTCCCTATATTGTTTACTATGGTACTTTAAATATTCAGTCTGGAATCACATGCAAGTATGACTTGAAAACAACATTAGCACTATTTATTTGACTGTGAACAATGCTGTAATTGAATAGTCATTGGCTGCTAATATGATTTCACTATTTAGAATTTATAAACAATACTTTTCTGAAATTACATTATTAAAAGAAAGTCAGAATGTGCAAGTATAAAAGCAGCTTTATCTCAATAATGTGATTTCTGTTCTACCTTATGATGCTTACAAACAATAATAATAGAAAAGATACAAGCAATGCTGGTACAAAATATCGAGTACACAACTAAACCTCATTCAAATGTCTTAACTTCAACTTTTCATGATTCATTTTACATTACTTCAAGCTCTGAGTGAATACTTCTGCACTTGCTGAGAAATATCACACAATTCGATCATAACTCACAGCTCAACGTTAAAATAATGCAAGACCAAACCTGAGGTAATGTACTATTACAATCCAGAGAGCAAATCTGACTTATAAAATACCATTATATGCTGAAGTGATGCATGAGAGCACAAACTACTGTAGCATTTCACGTCGAGTAAACAGCCAATAAATGAGGTAGCTTGCTCAAATGCATGTTGATAATAACTGTTGCATACAATATGAACAAGCAGAAACAAACCATGACCCTAAATCAGACACTAATAAGGAGATCCCATATAACAGATGATGTCAAAGTCAAAAACCATAACCACATTAAATAGACAATACGAGCAGTTTGGAGGCTTTTTGCTTTAACAAAGACTACTATAATGCTAACAACACTGCATTGAGAACAGATACTTCAATGTAAACCCCACGAAGACCAGCTGAATTTATTTAACACATCATTTTATGTATAATTCGTGCTTTTATACAGAATTATCCCAACATTTTCCTCCTGAATTTATGAATGCAATGCAGTTTGTCCTGTAATCACAGCAAATGAGAGGCCTGACCACAGCCTTCACACAATCCCTTCACTGTTACACTGATTTCCCCGTGACACATTGTTTTTTAGATGATTTCCTTTCTTATTTAATTCTGTCGTTATAATGGTAATTTAATCAAACGAGCGACCGTCGGATTTACAGCTTCAGCTATCTACACGCTACAATTACATTAAACTCACATACATATCTGTCTTCTTACCCTTGAATGATCCGATGTTGACCGGCGGCTCTTTTTATCCAGGACACACTCGATAAACAGCACTATTCAGACAATAAACGCGTTTTTCAGATCCATATTCGCTGATGGTTTCACTGGAAGGTTTTTTTTTTTTCTGTATCCAGCGTGAGAACTGCGGTTCCACTCAGCGCACTGATACGCGATCTAACCTGCTGAAAGAGGCGGGGCTGCGAGGGGCTGCGTGGAGTTTAGTTGCGGACCCATTGGTTAGTTTAGAGAAATCTCATTGCTTATTGGTCACCTCACACGTCCATCAATTGTGTGTGCTGGGCTGGTCCCAACAGTAGGTACAAAAATGTAACACGGAGCTATGTAGAGTTTCGGTAGGGAAACAGTTTCGCAATTCCTATTATATTATATTATATTATATTATATTATATTATATTATATTATATTATATTATATTATATTATATTATATTTTACTATATATTACATTACATTATTTTACATTAGATTTTATTACATTACATTACAATATATTATACTATGTATTACATTATAATACATTACAATATATTACATTCTATTATATTACAATAAATTATATTATGTATTACATTATATTGTATTACTTTATATTATATCACATTACATTGTTATATTATATATTACATTATATTATATTACATTATATTACATTTTATTACCTTATATTACACTATATTACATTATACTATTATTATTATATAAGTGCTACTTGATAATAGATTATGTTTTAAAATAGATCAAGTATTAACATATTTATTAATAATATTTATTAACAACAAGTATTAATTAATTTGTGGTCTATATCTGTTATTTATACTGTCAATCTATTGTCTAATAGCCTTTCAGAATTCCTATTATATTATATTATATTATTTTATATTATATTATATTATATTATATTATATTATATTATATTATATTATATTATATTATATTACATTGTAATAGGACAAATTCCTGGATTAACATCTATGTTGATCCTGAAACAACATTCCAATCAGCCAATCAGAATTAAGAGATACGTTTACCGTTTACGTTAAGTTTAGGCTCATGGTTTATGCACGTCTACATAATTGCTATCTAACTATTACCATCCAACCTCTGATTTTAAGAATAATTTACAGCAGTGGTCTCTCCGTGTACCACCATAATGAGCAGTATTGAAATACAATAGCTTAGTAGACCTAATTAAGCAGCTAGAGCACTGCACAGTTCAAAAACAAGCTACTTTAAACATTATAAATAGTTTGAACATTAGTACTGTGCTTATAGGTAAAACTAAATAATGTAAATAAATGTGCAAAATAATTAAACTTTGCAAATATGGGGAGGTGATTAGCTTTAAAGGATAGAATACATAACAAACATTAGACAATTGAAAATGAAATAAAAGGTGTAGCCTATTAAAATTAATTTACTGCTATCGTATGCGTCAAAGGGTTAAATGTGTGTTCATTTTGTTACTTTAATCATTTATCAATTCCTCAGTGTACCACTTGTGGTACACGTACCACAGTTTGCGAACCCCTGATTTACAGTAATGGTTGTGTTTAGGGGTAGGGAATAGGTATGGGTTACATTTTCCAACAAAAATGATGTTCCAGGATCAGCATAGATGTTAATCCATCTATAATCACATCGTATTAGGCAAAATCATGACGTGCGTCATCAGAACAGGGTGTTCAACGCGTCACCATTTCCATTAAAAAACAAATTTGGCTATAAATATTGGCTGAACAGAGCAAATTAGGCTAAATATTATTACATTTAATTTGCTTTTTAAATTCAACAAATATAAAATGTTTGCAAATATTTACCTTAAAATAATTGAGTAAATCCAATAAATCATTTTCAGTGAGTGACTTAAAAGTATTTCACCCAAAACTGAATATTCTGTCAGAATTTACCCATGCTTCACTTGTCACAACCCTGTTAGAGTTTATTTCTCTGTTGAGAATAAAATAATCATTTTGAATAGTCCTGAAAACCTGTAACTATTGACTTCCATAGAATTTGTTTTTCCTTATATGGGTGTCAATGGTTGCAGGTTTCTAACACCGTATGAAGTATCTTCTCTTGTGTTCAACAGAAAACATACTTCCAGCAGGATAGCACACCATGTCATAAAGCGTGAATCATCTCAGACTGGCTTCTTGAACACGACAATGAGTTCACCGTACTTAAATGGCCTCCACAGTCACCAGATCTCAATCCAATAGAGCACTTTTGGGATGTGGTGGAATGGCAGATTTGCATTATGGTTGTATAGCTGACAAGTCTGGAGCAACTGCTTGATGCTATCATGTCAATACGGAGCAAAATCTCTGAGGAATATTTCCAGTACCTTTTTGAATCTCTGCTATGAATGATTAAGGCAAAAGGGGTCCAACCCGGTGCTAGTAAGGTGTCCCTAATAAAGTGGCCGGTGAGTGTATATCACAATGATATTAGTGAAATAAATGTAAAAACTGAATAAATATAAATTTACACACATTTACACAAGTAAATACATAGATTCAATGATGGGCTTAAAAATCTGTGGAAGTCTGCAGGTATCTGCTCACGCAGACTCCGTGTGGGCCTACTCATGACTTATTGATCACATAGATGACATTGTGCAAACCACAGGATGCCGAGTGTGGTGTTGTGAACTTGCCTCAGCTTATCTCAAAACAAACTTGAATGATTTGACCATATTCAAAGTCCCTCAGGCACGGTTCGATGAGCGCTGCAGGATACAATCTGTTTCCTGTCCTAACAGATGGACGTTACAGTAGAGCAGCCCTGATTCTGCTCTCCACAGAAAAGGCATCTAAACCCGCAGTAGCGCCACCTCGTGGAACACTGGAGAAATGTCTGCTGCTCTGCCATTTAAAAGATTTATTACAAAAACATCTCCAGGCCCTGCCAACAAACCGAGCAGCGATTCATCATGACCACAGCTTTCATATGCCCGAGGGAAACAATGATTACTCTGATCTTAAATATAACCTTTATGTTGGAGTGTAAACAAAATGGAAGAAAATAAAATGCCACTGAAAATGAGACTGCTTAATAGGAGCTGAATATTTAACACAATATTTCATAAGATCAAACCACAGACACAGATGACGCTATCTATCTATCTATCTATCTATCTATCTATCTATCTATCTATCTATCCATCCATCCATCCATCCATCCATCCATCCATCCATCCATCCATCCATCTATCTATCTATCTATCTATCTATCTATCTATCTATCTATCTATCTATCTATCTATCTATCTATCTATCTATCTATCTCTCTCTCTCTCTCTCCATCCATCTATCCATTTATCTATCTATCCATTTAACTATCTATCTATCTATCTATCTATCTATCTATCTATCTATCTATCTATCTATCTATCTATCTATCTATCTATCTATCTATCTATCTATCTATCTATCTCTCTCTCTCTCTCTCCATCCATCTATCCATTTATCTATCTATCCATTTATCTATCTATCTATCTATCTATCTATCTATCTATCTATCTATCTATCTATCTATCTATCTATCTATCTATCTATCTATCTATCTATCTATCTATCTATCTATCTATCTATCTATCTTCCAAAAAAAAAAAAAAGTTAAATATGTAAAACATTCTGAGGCAAAAACCTAATTGTGCAGGCTGATCTGGTAGCGGGGGAGTTGTCGAAAAATAACAGGTAAGAGTACAGTTCATCAAATAATGTTTGACGGAAGTGAAGAGCGGGAGGTGTATGGGTTTGTAGGGTGTGGATCCCTTATGGTATCTCTGGGGGGCCCAAAACGCCCCTTAGAATCGTCCTAACTTGCCCCTCTAACTGGTAGTAATTTCAGACACAGCCATGATCTTGTATGGGGTCCTTCAACTACTGTAATTAAAGTCTTCCGTGGAATTGCCAGACTTAACGTTAGCATAGCGTGTTACACCAGAGGAGATGGTTTTCAGCTACAAAATTAATCAAGTTTAAAAATAAAAAACGATTGGCCTTTACTAAAATAGCTACTTGTATAATTATGTCTGAAGCATTTAATATTTTATGATTTTCCTTCAATTAATGTGTGCTGTAATTAATTAAACTGTGATTGAGTTAACACAGGACAGTTTTGGGACTTGGCTCAAAAACGTAAATATGTAATAACACGGCAGTTTATATAACAAGAGGTCCATGGAAGACAAAGAAAGGTTTAACCATTTACTGCATTTTAAATGATGATGACAATACTAATTATATTCATATTTGTCAGTGAAATTACAACCTCACGACAGCATCTTATATATTATTTATTCATTCATTTTTCTTCAGCTTAGTCTCTAATTCAGAGGTCAGCGGAATGAACCGCCAACTATCCCAGCATATGTTTTACACAGCAAATGCCTTTCCAGCTGCAACTCAGTACTGGGAAACACCCATACGCTCTCATTCTCACACATACACACACACACACACACATGCACACACTCTCATACACTGTGGCCAATTTAGCTTATTCAATTCACCTATAGCACATGTGTTTGCAAACTGGCCCTGGCAAGACTTGAATCAGGCACCTTCTTGTTGTGAGGTGACAGTGCTAACCATTGAGCCACCGTGTCACCAAGGAGGTTTTCTTTTAAGTCTGATGAGATAAAAATACCATCACACTTAATCCCAAACACAAATCCCTCTATCACTCAGGCAGGGATTGCATCGATCGCCTTATTGAGAGAAGCCTAAAGAAATCAATACAGGTTCATTCATAACATTTTGCCAGGGATTTTGTTCTTGTCTTATAGAAAAACAGACATCAAATGTAAAAAAGTATGGGAAATACATCTAAAGAGTGGCATTTGATTGCATTTTGTTTTAATGAAAATGATCTAAAACCATTAAAATGTTTATGCTATTATGCTATTACAAGATGCAAAATAAGTCTCTCGTGTCCCCAGAGTTTGTGTGTGTGTGTGTGTGTGTATAAAGTTTCAGCTCAAAATACCACACTAATAATAATTTTAGGCTTTGATCCTAATTTTGCCATTTTGGTGACTGTCGCTTTAAATTCAAATGAGATTGTGCTTTTTCAAAAGAGGGCGGAGCTACAAATGCCTGTGTGCCAGCATAGTGCATAGGCCTGATAGCTCCTCCCTAAATGACTGATAGTCTCGCCCTAAAAGACAGATCACCTTGGCCTAAAGGCCTAATAGCGCCTCCCTAAATGACTGATAGCCCCTCCTTAAAGGCCTGATAGTTCCTCCCTAAATGACTGATAGCCCCTCCCTAAAGGCCTGATAGTTCCTCCCTAAATGCTTGAAAATCCTGCCTTAAAGGCCTGATAGCTCCTCCCTAAATGACTGATAGTCCCGCCCTAAATGACCGATCTCCTTGCCCTAAAGGCCTGATAGCTCCTCCCTAAATGACTGATAGTCCCGCCCTAAATGACCGATCTCCTCGCCCTAAAGGCCTGATAGCTCCTCCCTAAATGACTGATAGTCCCGCCCTAAATGACCAATCGCCTCGCCATAAAGGCTTGATAGCTCCTCCCTAAAGGCCTGATAGCTCCTCCCTAAATGACTGATAGTCCCGCCCTAAATGACCGATCGCCTTGTCCTAAAGGTCTGACAGCTCCTCCCTAAATGACTGATAGTCCCGCCCTAAATGACCGATCGCCTCGCCCTAAAGGCCTGATAGCTCCTCCCTAAATGACTGATAGTCTTGCCCTAAATGACCGATCGCCTCCCCCTAAAGGCCTGATAGCTCCTCCCTAAATGACTGATAGTCCCGCCCTAAATGACCGATCGCCTCCCCCTAAAGGCCTGATAGCTCCTCCCTAAATGCATGATAGTCCCAGCCAAAAGCACTGATAGCCTTGACCTAAAGGCTTATCATGTGACCAGAAGTGAAGAATAGTCATTTTGGGGGTAAAGTCTATATCGGATACGCGGCCGGCCGGAAGTGCGATATGCACATCAATTATAGTAGCATTTTTTATGACACTGTATAACAATAATTAATTATTTTACAATACGGTGACGTTGGATTTAGGGTTGGGACGGGGGTAGATGTTAATAAAATATCATAAATGGGAAATTTTATAAATAATGTAAATAATTCTCATTAACTTCCAGCCGCAACCATATCCGATCTAGCAACAACTCATTTTGAGGAGGAGGGAAAGTTCTAGTAATTGATCAAAGTTTATGAGGGCAAATTAACTTGAACAAAAGTGTACAGATACATAGTTAATAACAAGAACTACCATACACATATATATATATATAAAAAAAAGAGAACCTTTTTACTTGGCAACATAGCAACAAGGGCTTAAACTCTCATTTTCATCTCTCTCATCGTTGACGACAATAAAACATGGAAATTTGGATTAAAAATAATCCAAAAAGTGAAAATCTCCAAAGAAACAGTTGTTTGATTTTGCCTGAAGGAACAATCAATGCCGTTGTTTATAGATTTAGCCTACTGCATCATACCTTGCTTCAGTGAACCAGGAAAAAAAATCAATGCTATCAGAGGGGGGCTCTATGGATCACCGTTTTTATTTTCACACATCAACAGTTAGCAAAGACATTACACCGATTGGCACTCTTCCAACGACACGATTGGAAACAAATGCCGAAGATCCAGACATTCAGTGATTGCACACATTAGTAAGAGAAGAGGGGCTGGGAAACACTGCACACATACACACACACACACACACACACACACATACAGACACACATATACATGCCCCCTCATGCGCTCAAAAAAACCACACACATCTGCGGCGTTCATTTAATGGGCGAGTCCAGAATCTCCTGGTAGTCTTGTCTTATGGCTCGGCTCACCCTGTAAAGCTTGAGACCCGTCAGGACGAACACGCTGACCATGATAACCAGCGCCCCAAAGACGTCATACACCGACGGGATCATTCGCAGCACGATAAGCTGAAGAAACATGGCCACCACGATCTCCAGATGCTGTACGGTGCTGACCAAGGCCGGGTGGAACTTGTTGAGGGCGTAGTAGACGCCAAGAAACGCAACGGTGGAGCATATGCAGATTCCTGTTAGGTAACCCCACGTTTCGCCATCCAAAGGAATGATGGGTTCTTGCATGATGAACATGGTGGAGGCTCCCCAAACGGTCCCGGTCCACCCGAAAGTGAAGAGCGCCGTCCACATGCTGACGCGCTCTTTAATGGCACGGTACACGATCATAGACAGCGCGGCGGTTAGACCTGCCATTACAGTCATAGTGTACCCAAAGGCTTCCTTCCAGAATCCCAAAGCAGATTTCTCCTCATCGGCGATGTTCGGGATCATTACAAGACAAAGTCCGAAAAGGCTGCCGACGACAGTCACTACATCAGTATAACCAAGGCGTTCGTCGAGAAGCAAAAAGGCCAGAACTGCGCTAAAGACAGTGGTGGTCGCCCGCCACATGATGGTGCCGTTACTGGGTGGAACAATCGCGAAGGACGTGTAAGCACAAGTGATGGAGATGACATTGCAAACCCCGTAGAAGAACAAGCGCAGTCGGTAGCCCTTGGGCCCAAAGGGAGCCTCTTTATAGTAGAGGACCACCAATACTGACAACACCTGTATGACGGAGCGGATGAAGATGAGCTCTAATGAGGGCACTTTAGAGCGGTCGGCTGCTAGGCGTGTGATGAGCGCTACGCATCCATGAGCAATGGCCGCCCCAAAAAGTGCACCCCAGGTGACCCGTGAAGCTAGCACATTGGCTTCGCCGAAGCTGGCCAATTGGCTGCCCACTCCTTTATCTTTCTGATCAGCTTTGGGACGGGAATCCATAGTGCCGAATAAAGTCCTGCCACCACTCTCCGACACCAGTCTCTTGCTGGGGTTGTTGTCCATGAAGGAGCTGAAGTCCTCAAAGGACGGAGCGTCATCGTATCCCTCGTCGCCCGGCTGGGGGAAATGTGTGGCGTATTTCACCGTGACGGTGTTGGGGTGGATTTTAACCCTCTTTTTGGAGCCGTACTGCTGCCTTGTGGGAGACGGATCCATTTTCTTCAGCTACAGAAGAGCTGTTGAAAACACACACACCAACATCGTTGAATTATCTCACGGTGGAAACAAGAAACACACGAATACAAGCAGGACTATGAAATGAACACACAGAAAAAATACTATAGTGATTTACAGGAAGCAGCACACTGTAAGACAGTTGTACACTCGTTATTGTGGTGCATTGTGGGATTGATTGAGTGCACTTAGATTCATAGGCCCCCAACAATGTCAAGAGCAAATCTAAACCCTTAAAATCTACGCCGGTAATGTATAATAAATACCAGAGGCGTAGATTTAGCATGGACGGAGGAGATGTGTCCCCACTTATAACCATAAACTACTGAAATGCCCCCACAGATAATTTAATTTACTTATTTAAAAAGATTGATCTGTCAATATTAACCTGGACATCCAGAAAGGGTACAATCACATTCTCTCCTTGAATAGCACCGCCCCCCAAACACACATGAACATTGTGATTGGCTGAGCCTTTCCATGCTGTCATGTGAGAAGCTGTACCTGCGTTCAGATACAAGCAGCACCAAAACTACAGGCGAATTTCCCGTGCAAAAATAAGGTGTGTGAGGTGTGTGACACACAGGAGAGGATGGTAGCAATGTCAGAAAACTACAGTCTGTGCTCTATCTTTTATTAGTACTGATATATGAGACATCTTTCATTTGCACTATGGCTAAAATAAACAGAACTCTTTGCTAAACTCTCTCTTAATCAGTTAATAAATATTCTTTTAACATTACTCTATCAGGCCCATAGCCAGCTTATTGAAGGAGAGAACTTTCCTCAGTCAGAATTTGACCATTTGAATAATACGAAAAATAAAATATAATAATAATAATAATAATAATAATAATAAAATATAATAATAATATTAATAATAAAATAAAATATTATAATAATAAAATAAAATATAATAATAATAATAATAATAATAATAAAATATAATAATAATAATAATAATAATAACAATAATAATAATAATAATAAAATAAAATATAATAATAATAATAATAATAATAAAATAAAATATAATAATAATAATAATAATAATAATAAAATAAAATATAATAATAATAATAATAATAATAAAATAAAATATAATAATAATAATAATAATAATAATAATAATAATAATAATAATAATAAAATAAAATATAATAATAATAATAATAAAATATAATAATAATAATAATAATAATAATAATAATATTAATAATAATAATAATAATAATAATAATAATAATAATAATAAAAACTTTTGGTCTTTCGAACCTCTCAAACCCCATTGGGGTTAAAACTTATTAAATAATTAATTAATTGGGGGTTGTTAGATTCACCTGACCCCACCAATGTCAAGTGCAGACCCGTGACAGATACTACAGTGTTTTTGAACCACACTATAGTAAAGTACTTGATTTAATATCTTGTGCTGATTTTCTTCAACTATAGGGTATATTTGTACTACACCACAGCTTAATGTAAACTAAAGTATACTACAGTGTTTATAACGGTTTATTAGTGAACATTAGAGTATGCTGGAGCATTCATAAACAAAAAGTTGTCAATACTATAATATGTACATTAGGCTGTGATACACTTCACTATACAGTAGTCCAGGGGTTCTCAACTGGTTTGGCCATGGGACCCATATTTTTTACATGGTCATCAAGCCGTGACCCACATTTTTCGGAACTATAATATAAATTTAGGAATTATAATTAATTTGTATTTACTTGTTAACATACATAAGTGGTGACAGATAAATCATGAGAAAATGACCAATACTTACAAATAAACAGTTATTTTTTTGCTGTCATAACAAAATGTATCAAATTATAGAAATATTACAAAGTAAATATGACAGATACTGTAAACAGTGGTCAGGGTAAGGAAAGGTCCAGTTACCGTGAACTAAACTGAACTGTTAATTAAACATGTTGTTGTCTGGTTTCTAAATGTCGTGGTCACACTTTACAATAGTTTAATACTTAATGTTAATTAATGCATTTACTAACATGATCAAACAATAAACAATACATTTACTACTGTATTTGTTCATGTTAGTTAACATTAGTTAATGAAAATACAGTAGTTCATGTTAACTTATGGTGCATTAACTAATGTTAACAAGCATGAACTTAGATGTTAATAATACATTAGTAAATGTTCAGTTATGATTAATAAATGCTGTACATGTGTTGTTCATGATTAGTTCATGTTAGTAAATGCATTAACTAATGAACCTTATTGTAAAGCGCTAACATCCTCGTTTTAGTTTAGAAGGTTTCATGCTCTCTTGTGAGAGGCTTTAAGTCTTTTTTTTTTGTTTTTAATATATGTAAATCCATACTTTACATTGTGCATATTTATTGCTATATTTAAATGAAATTTCACGTGTCAAATGGTAGCGCGCATTTCAAAATAAAAGTCTGGTATAAGCAAAATAAGTTAAAAATTAAACTTGTGTTGTTTTTTTGACCACACACTCCACGACCCACTGAAAATGTTCCCGCGACCCAAACATTGCAGTAGTCAACATTTGAAGTGGATCAGAAATAGGCAAGAGTGAGTGTTCTTCAACAGTTTTAGGGTAACTTTTGATGAAAACTGATGACCCACTATAGTATGCTTTAAAAACGCTGTAGTATTTAGGCTACTATAAATTACCAAGGGTGTAGATGTGCTCCTGAACATTGATGGAGATCACTCAACCAGTCCCACAATGCCCCACAATAACGAGTGTACAACCAATATAGTCAAGAGAATACCCATAATGCACTGTGAGAGTTTGCATGCTGAATAAATGTCTACGTCTGACCACAAGATGAGATCATATTGGTGTGAGTTTCTAAATAATTTATCATTTGATTGTTAAATTAACATTTGTGTACATGCAAGAAATCAAAATGTATTAACAGACAGCTCACTATGTGTTAAATACAATCAAGAAATATGACCCATCTAAGGGTGGAGAAGAATCATTTGTTCTCTAACACATGCCAAACGTGGATGGAAGTAAGTCTGTTGTCTTTTGATACAAGAAGCAAATTTCAGGCAATGAAATCAGTTATTAATGAATGAGAATTGCCTAGGATTGAGATCAAAATTGGCTCCGCTTGGGCTCCACTTGGGAAAACATATTAGCATATTCTACTGGAACAGTATGATGATAAAACAACAGGACGAACATTAAGATGGACACATTGTTGTAAGAGATGCGAGTCTGCATCCAGCAAGCAAGCATATTTTTGCCAACTTAAGCTTGCACTGCTTTCAGAGAGATGCAGAAGAAAATCTTACATAATTCATAACTCGCTGCTTCAATGGTTCCCCTCTCCATGCCATCTCTCTCTCTCTCTCTCTGTACTGCCGCCCCATGTGTAAAGCAATTTCTATATTTAAGGGCTGATGCGCCTGCTCAGATAAGCAGAATTTGATTCAGTGTGATGGGAAGAAATTATGTAACGCGGAAAGGAACTGGATAGTGGGTAAATGGTAAGATAAATTAGCATTACTAAATTATATCAAATAAAACTTTATGCATTTAATGATGAATATGCAAGATGCATCATTTCCCGTGGGAAAAATCGGAGTGCACCATCAGGCAACCAAATCTAGTTTCTGTCGTCCGCTTGACAGCATGAAACAACGCGGTCAATAAGCGAAGTCCCCAGCAGGGGGCGACAGCTTCAACAAGATGCTCCTGACGAGAGCCCACCTATTATGCTCCAACCCGATAACTCGTAAAAATGTCATATTATATGATACAGCCATTCTGAATCATATCAGTATATTGGCCTCATGGCACACCGCGAGGCTGGAGACAGGACAAATCTGGTTGAGGAGAGAAAGCATGATTTATTGGTGGTCACAGCCGGGCTATTAGAACTCTGATCTCTGCTATAAATCATCGAGCAATTTTGCATAAATGCACACATAGACATTGGATGTATATATTTATACACATATATAATGCATATACTACTATTAAAGCAACACTAAAGATTAGAGAGCGAGCGAGAGAGATAGAAATAAAGAGAATGGAAATAAATTGAGCAGAATTGCTTTACTGGCCATTTGTTCTGATCAACAATGCATGTTTGTATAATTCTAATTTTCATTTATTTGCATGCAATTTAGTGCAAATTCGCTATTTTCAAATTCTGCACGCAGCTTTAAATAATTTGTTCTGCACAATTTGGCCACGCTTTTTTAAACACTGTTGCGCAAAAGCGCACATGCAGCAGGCAAAACGCGTCGTTTTTATTTTCTCCTGCAAATCTCGCAGCGCAAACTCGTCTCCATATTGCGCATCAAGTGAATCAAAGCAGGCGGTTTATACTCACCACGCGTCTCTCAAAGAAAGGATCCTGCTGTCTTTGGAGCTCTTGTAAAATGAAACATAAGTGTTTTAGCTGGTAAGCGTCAAGATATGGAGAACTGCGCTTGCCATGTCTCCATCCTTTCCTCACGGACGCGCTGGACGTCTCCAAGGCGCGCGCATCATCCACGCGCTCCCGACGCTCGCGTTTCGGCTGGGCTGACAGAGACGCGACGAACCCCAAGACAAACCCCCTGGTTTTTTTTGTCTGGCAGCAGAGAGAGGGTGGGGTGGACATGTGAAAACTGCTTCAGCCTCACATCATCATCTTCAGCGTCAGAAGAAGCGCACGCATGCTGAGTTGATCTTATTTCTGAGCTAAATTGAGTCTCTGTAATAAACTCAGCAAGTCTTCCGAAAACGTGTTAGTTTTGCTGTATTCAAGTCTCTCATGGTGCACAAGAACATCAGCAAAAAATCTAATATAATAAATAAATACACTGCGTATATCCTTGTTTTAAATGTTTAGATAAGAACATGTCGATCACCTTTTAAATAGGTTATGAATACCATGGTTAGGCAAAGGAATAAAATGCAAGACGAGGCAGCATTCAAATAAGACCAGCACACAACCAATCATACATGTTCTTAATGCTTGCCTTGTTAAATATTCATGAACTTTGTGGGAGCACAGAAACATGTTCATGTATGGCATTTCATTTGAAACTAAAGATTGTTCCCCAAAAGACTTCTATGAATTTCTGTGTATTGTAAATCATTTTCTTTTGGCTTAGTCTCTGATCTATCAGTGGTCACCACAGCGGAATGAACCACCAACTACTCTGGCATATGTTTTAAGCAGCGGATGGCCTTTCAGCTCTTTCATATTTTAAGGAACTAAACAAAGTACAGCCAGAAGCAATCAATAAACTAATACATAACTCTGGATTCTTGACTTTGTTTGTCTCCATAATTTCTTTAAAGATTATGCTCACCGGTTCCTCGTTTAGTTTCTAATACTCTTAGTCAATTTAATCCCTTTCCGGGTGCTCTGGTTTCCCCTACAGTCTAAAGACATGCGGTACAGGTGAATTGGGTAGGCTAAATTGTCCGTAGTGTATGAGTGTGTGTGTGAATGTGTGTGTGGGTGTTTCCCAGAGATGGGTTGCGGCTGCAAAGGCATCCGCTGCGTAAAAACTTGCAGGATAAGTTGGCGGTTCATTCTGCTGTGGCGACCCCAGATTAATAAAGGGACTAAGCCGACAAGAAAATGAATGAATGAATTTAATGCCTTCAGTTTCAGTAGCCCATTGTCTGCTTTAATTATATTTGTGAACTGACCCTTTAATATCTATTCTGATTCTTTACCCTACATATGAGCGACATAAATAGGGATTCTGGCCTTGGCAGCAGGCTTCTCTCCTTTTCTTAAGGCATATAGTTTACTTTAAAAAGACTTATGCAAATAACAAAGGCTCACTTTAAAAGAATATGCTTAAATGTAAACTAAATGTCAAATTTCTGTTCTAAGGACTCTTATTTTGTCAACAGACAATTTTTTCTGTTGACATTCTCACTAAGCTGAGATTTTAGGAAATTAAACAAGACACAGGTGGACAATAAACTAGTAGGTAAATCTGGTTTCTTGGCTTTGTTTGTCTTCATAGTTACTTTATAATTATGTTCACCTGTTCCTTGTTTGGTTTCTAATAATCTCAGTGTATTTAATGCCACCAGGTTTAGTAGCTCATTGTCTGTTTTGGGTTAATTGGTTTGTTAATTTTGTGTGTTCCTGTGTAATCTACATATTTTGTATTATTAATACTTAGCAGTTAGACACACAACTCCATGTTAAAAGACCGGTTCAACAGAAATAAAAAATAGCTGTTAATAATTTTTTAGGTGAACTGACCCTTAAATTTCTGTTCTGATTCTTTACTCTACATATGTTCAACATAAATAGGGATTCTGGCCTTGACAGTAGGTGTTTCTCCTTCTCTTAAGGAATATAGTATACTTTAAAAATATTTGTATGGAAAAATATAGGCTCACATTAAAAAGAATACCCTTTAATGTAAACTAAATGTCAAATTTCTGTTCTAAGGACTCTTATTTTGAAGTGTATGCTCTGGTGACATTCTCAATAAGCTGAGATTTTAAGGAACTAAACAAGGAACAGGTGGACATAATCAATGAACTAGTGAGTAAATGTGTTTTTTTTTTCCTCCATAGTTACTTTATAATTATGTTCACCTGTTCCTTGTTTAGTTTCTAAAAATACCTGTTTTGATAATTTACCCTGCATATGAGCAACATGAAAAGTGATTCTGGCCTGGACAGCAGGCATCTCTGCTTCTCTTGAGGAAAGCCCAGCGAGAAGCGCGGTATTATTAATCACACGGAGAGCACCAGAGGAAGCTCAGATTAAACTGGTGGATGTAAACTTGCCGCCCCTGTGGGACTTTAACTCCTCCGGCTGCCTGCTTGCCCAGACACAACAGTCAGTCACAGTGCTAATTCTGGTGGGAGGTAATTCGTAACCATGCCTGACTGATTCCAGCATCTAAACATCATTCACAACACAAGCGCTTCACTCAGCATTTCTGGCCATATTTATAATCCCTGCTGTCCAAATGGCATCAACTAAAGTGATGAATCGAGCTAATTTATTGATCAACGCTGAGTGATTGGTCAGTAAGGTCACGATCTGTATGCGTTTGGGTCATGCACGTTCACTGTCAGGTTTAGTCGTGAATGTTGTACCTTTAGTGATGAGTTTGTAAAGCAAGTTCACCTCATGCTCTTAATACTAGCTAGGTTTCATTACTTATAAGCAATTAGGATTGAATGATTGGATGTTAGTTTCTAAATGGAGTTATTATTGGTTGATCTTTGGAGATATCATTCATAATACGTGACTCTTGATCACAAAACCAGACATCAGAAGAGTTTTTATTTTTAAGAGCCCCTATTATGCTTTGTAAAAGGTCATATTTTGGTTTTGGGGGTCTCCAACAACTTATTTTTATTTAATTATTCCAACAACTCATGTGATTTGTTCAGCGATTCATTTGTTCCCAAACCCCTCATTAGCACAATGCTAATCTGTGCTTATTTTTCCGATGGCCCAGTCTGTTGCAATTGGTCGACTGCGTTCAGCATGAGACAGAAATGCCCACCACAACTTATCAATTTTGTTGAAGTTACCACAGTACAGAGTATATGTGTGAGCTCAATGCAGGAGTGCATTAAAGCAATGCAGTTAAATACCAGCATATTGCTCTATTCTCATCCATAAGTAAAAACAATGACACACATTCAGAAACTACAAAGGCTCACTTTAAAAGAATATGCTTAAATGTAAACTAAATGTCAAATTTCTGTTCTAAGAACTCTTATTTTGAAGTGTATTTTTTGTTGACATTCTCACTAAGCTGAGATTTTAGGAAATTAAACAAGACACAGGTGGACAATCAACAAACTAGTAGGTAAATCTGGTTTCTTGGCTTTGTTTGTCTTCATAGTTACTTTATAATTATGTTCACCTGTTCCTTGTTTGGTTTCTAATAATCTCAGTGTATTTAATGCCACCAGGTTTAGTAGCTCATTGTCTGTTTTGGGTTAATTGGTTTGTTAATTTTGTGTGTTCCTGTGTAATCTACATATTTTGTACATTGTACATTGTTGAAGTTACCACAGTACAGAGTATATGTGTGAGCTCAATGCAGGAGTGCATTAAAGCAATGCAGTTAAATACCAGCATATTGCTCTATTCATATCCATAAGTAAAAACAATGACACACATTCAGAATAACAAAGGCTCACTGTGTGGATTTATACTGAATGTGTGTCATTGTTTTTACTTATGGATAAGAATCTGATCTAAAAGTACGCACATATTACCAGCTACAAATGGAATATTGTGAATTAAATACAAATTAAAAGTATTTTTACTGTGGTTCTTAATGCTTCAAGTGTAAATTAGTACTGGCACTTTAAGTGTAAAACAAAACACAAAAAAACAAACAAAAATGATTTAAGTATTGTGACTCCCATCAATAAATCGAGGTCTTATGAAGTGGAACAATTGGTTTGTGCCGGGAGCTGAACGATATTTACAACATTAATACCTTTAATCCACAACCTCAGCAAAAAAAATCTTGAATGCATTGCCAGCAGATTACGAAGTTAAACAATTCAAAGAATATGACAGACAGCTCAAGAAACTATATATACTTTAAAATGGAAAATGGTCTGATTCTGTACAATTTACTGCAAATCACGACAGCGCATGTGCAGCAATCAGCAACGACTAAAAAACTGAACACTTTTAAAAAGCTTTTAACAGCTCTGATAGGAAGGCAATTAACCAGTATATGAAATGTCAACTAAGCCATATTTCATAATGGAATCATTTGTGAAGGTAATTCTAGCCTGGCTGCCCATGAATTGCTCCGTAATAATGAAACTGCAGCTTTAAATGAGATGAAATGGCTAGATGGTGTTCAGTGACATCCTGGGTTAAGTTAGAGGATGGCATGTTCAGTGAATCGAAAACTGTAAGCGACTGCCACATTACTACACCCACGCCAGATCAAAGACAGGCTATTTCTGAACTCTGTGCTGGTTTAGACTGAGGAGGAATTTTGGATTATTCGGAAATCCTGATTACTGTCACATGCTTTTAGCAGCCAAAATACTAGAACAACACTCTGGAGGAAATATGACTTTTTCTAGGATGAAAAGATGAGTTGTTACTTGTAGCATTGCTTCATGATTGCTGAGGTGTTCTGAGTATATTTATCACATGATTGCAAGGTTACTGGTGTGCTGTAGGTCTATTTTAATGTGTTGCTATTGTCTGCTTTATGCTCTGTGTTTTAAATTTCCCATCTTTTTCTTCAGTTTTTCCTTCATTGTTTTCGGTTGTTGCTAGAAGAGATACAGTTGGTCAGAGGTTGCCACAGCGGAATGAACCGCCAACTATTCCAGCATATGTTTTACGCAGTAGATGCCCTTCCAGCCGCAACCCAGAACTCATACACCACAGCCAATTTAGTTTATTCAATTCCCCTATTCACCTTATTCTTCGCCGACGAGCGGGCGCAGCCATTTGACTTCCGGTCTCATTCACTTCCATTCATTTTTAGACAATAAAAACTGCTTGTTT